ATCAAGCTCTCAGAATACATAAACGACACATCGACTTTGGAGGTGGACCAGGAATCTTTTATGAAAACGCCAATGCCGCCTCCACGAGTGGTTTGTCGAGTGCAAAAATAATCATGGAAAATAATAATAATAATAATAATAATAATCAAGAATCAAGAATCAAGAATCAAGAATAGTTTTTATTTGTGCCCAGGAACAACCTTGCGGTTTTGGTGCTGGCGCACGTAAAAAAGAACAAAAACACACACACACAAAAAAAGGAAAAAGAAAAAAAAATACACGGAAGGCAGTTTTACATAAAATTCTACAAAAAAGAAGACGCGAGAACTGTGTACACAAAATTGTACAGAAAAACAAAACAAAAAAGTGCACAAAAATTGCACAGAGAAATGAAGACACGAAAAAACATGTTCCAATACATGTGGATGCTTCACTTGGACGCAAACAGACGCGAACGTCTGAACACTACACATACAGCTCCGTACAAATAGAAACAAGAAATCAACAAGTCATAGAAATGCATATGGAAACCCGGCAGTTGATTCAGGAAGTTAATCGAAAGTCACAAAAGAGCTTCCGCACAGATTTAACAAAATCGGAGAAGTTGTCAAGAAATATATCGAGATTAAGAGAAGAGTTATTATAAAGGAGTTCCGCACGAGATACTGGATCAAGTGTATTAACTCTAGATGACAGATAGAAGGTTGACGTTTTTCTTGTCGTCACTCGCGGTACGTGCAGAGAAACCTGATGCAGGATGTCGGAGCTATCTATTTGACCATGTATACATTTATAAAGAAAGAGCAGCTCCGCAGTGTTTCGGCGTCCCTGCAAGTCTTGCAGTCGAATGGGTGAACTATGCACGTCATCAACTGCTTTTGCAAGGTTGAAACGGTGTTTAAAAATTGATACGAATTTCGCTTGTACACGAGAAATCCTCAATAGATTAGAGTGGCACGTCCCACCCCATACAACAGATGCATACTCAAGGTGAGAACGACACAGGGAACAATATAAGGTTAAAAATGTTTTAGGGTCACGAAATTCTCGTGATACACGACACACAAGACCCAGGGTGCGCAGCGCAGACTTCACAATATGCATAACATGACCCTGGAAACGCAAAGCAGAGTCAAATACAACACCAAGATCTCTGATTTCGCCAACGCGGGACAGTTGATTAGTGTTAATTGTGTAGTTAAATGGTACTGTGGCAGTTTTTCTAGAGTAGGTCATGACTTTTGTTTTGGACTGGTTGATCTTCAGGTGATTACGTGAGCACCAGCCAACAAACGAGGTTATATCAGACTGTAAATCCATGCAGTCAGGTTCGCCGCCTATTTCTCTAAATATTTTTATATCGTCTGCATATAGCAAGAAAGAAGACGTGGTGATGGCGCTTGCGACGTCATTCACAAAAACAGAAAATAGCAACGGGCCCAGTACGGAACCCTGTGGTACACCCGAAGTTGCGTTATACGTGGAGGAGCAAGACCCGTTCGCACGCACATAACAAACCCTTTCCCTTAGGTAGTCCTCCAGAAGACAGTAAATCGGACCGCAAAGACCAACTGCAGAGAGCTTAGATAAAAGTATACTGTGGTTTACAATGTCGAAGGCCTTGCTACAATCAAAGTATATAACGTCAAGTTGACCTCTGTCGCACACAACCTTAGACGCAGCAGCTGCGAATGGCACCAGATTTGTCGTCGTTGAACGACCAGCGAAAAAACCGTGCTGGTTGGTACTTATCGTGCTTTGAAGTGAAAAAGACAGAGACCTGTGGATGACCTTCTCAAAGAGCTTAGAAAACGAGCAGAGTAAAGAAATAGGTCTGTAGTTAGAAGCGTCAGTCCGCTTGCCCGCCTTAAAAATCGGGACCACAACAGCAATTTCCGAATGGAATTGGCCTTGTAGACATCATCAGGTAATTTATTAAAGGTAAACGGCACATAATAGGAGCGAACTCGTTTTCCATATCGCGTAACACAACGTGGGACCTCAAATCGAGACGTGCAACGAAGGTTTCTTCGGGCAACGTGAGTACATTTGAATTCATTATTCCAAAAATGGCGAAGCACAACAGTCTGCATAAACAAAGAAGAGAAACTCGGCATTCGTAAAGACTCGAAAATGTTCACATCAGACGGAACTTCCAAAGGATACATAACACTCTTTAACAAGCTCCTCAAAATTCGATAAATTTTTATTTGCCAAAGCTCAGCGCAGTTACCGAACAAAGTAATGCCATACCTCAGTACACTGTAGCCAAGCGCGTACGCGATAGATTTCCTAACTGAAAAAGGAATGAACACTTTGTGGTTGAAAAGTAAACAGCTGACGCTCCGAAGTTTTCTGCAAACGTGTGACAGATGCGAATTCCAAGACATGTCTGAATCTAAAAAAACTCCCAAATATTTCACATTATCGACGTATTCTAGCGGGGAACAGGTGCAGTTTGGACAAGTTGATTTGTGTAATAAAACCGGCGAGTTAACGACTACAGCCTTCAGTGGATTTCTGAAACAGACAAGCTTAGTTTTCGAAGCGTTAATTTAATTAGGTTTTCATTAAACCAGTCCATGATTTTTGTTGCATCATGGCTCAATAGATCAACGGCTTGTTCATATTTTAGATGACGGGAAACGAGGACAGTGTCGTCGGCATATTGAAAGAGGCTACAATTAGACACTGCCGTTGAAAGGTCATTTACGTAAAGATTAAAAAGTAAAGGGGACAACACGGAACCCTGTGGAACGCCAGCTCTTATGAGTGCTCGTGCACTTTTATAACCTCCGACAGACACGATTTGAGAACGGCCAAGAAAAAAAATTTTGAAGTAGAGCGAAAAAGGGACCGCGGAAGCCGAAGTTATACAATTTGCGGAGGAGCAACTTGTGGCTTACAGTGTCAAAAGCTTTGGACACGTCTAAAAAAAGGGCGCACGCGAATAAGTTTTTCTCGAATGCACTGTGAATTATGTCTACGAAATTTTCAAGCAGAGGCTGGGTGCCTCTGCCAGCCACGAAACCATATTGGCTGCTTGAAAAGGAGCAAGAGCTATCAATAAAACATGTCATCGTACTGAACAGATATCTTTCCAGTATCTCGCCGATGCACGGCAGAATTGAGATTGGCCGATAGCACTCACGTTTATCTGCTGCGCCACCCTTAAAAAGTGGAACAACAAGTGCGGTTTTCAGATCGTTAGGAATGACACCAGATAACAAAAACCCATTTATCATATAGAGCAGGACTCCTTTAATAGCTTCAAAATTTCTAACAAGATCACCAACTCGAATATTATCAATACCAGGTGTTTTATTGCGTTTTATTCCAAATAAAAGGGAGCGTAATGTACCGATATCGAGTTCCGGCAAAAATGCTGAATCAGATGCTATGTAATCGCGGCTTGGACTGGCTGAAGTTATGCTGCTATCTCTGGCAATACTTGACGCCTCCGCAAAATATGTGTTAAAATCATCGACGGTTGACTGTAAGTCGGCGCTGAAATGTTTTTGAAGTGAATTAAAAATTGATTGCCGGGATGGGTGGCCCCTAAAAGTATTGATTAAATTCCACGTCTCTCGCGGATTAGACCTGCATTCAAAAAACTGTTTTTGAAAGTAACGCCGTTTAGCACTTCATATAATCGCATTTACGAAGTTCCTAGCGCTACTATATTCCGCCCTTAGCTCTTCATTTTTAGGTGCGCGTCTGGAACGCGACCCCAACGCTTCCTTGGTTTTGATAGCCTACATAATATCTGTGTTGAACCATGGTTTATCCGATCTCTTCTTGAAAATGACTTCTTTTTTTGAAACAACATAAAAGGACTTTAAAACTTTGAAAAAAGCAGAATATAAATTAGGATCCTGATTGGACTGAAGGAAATCATCCCAATCGAAAGCCGCAACTAATGCATCAAACTTAATCGGGTCCGAGATTGTTACCCGCACGCAACCGCTTTTGTTAGTTTTATGCTCTGCACCCCGCTGCTGTAAATGACACCCGATAAAGTAATGATCAGAAAGTTTTTCAGAAATGACAGCCCATTTCACCAAAATATCAGTGCTTCTAATATTGATATGATCCAAACAAGACACTACCAATTTTCCAGACGAAGTCTCCTCTCTTGTAGGCAGACTAATTGTATTTTTTATTCCATGCTCCGACAGAAGCGTGAGGTAATTACAGACGGTAGATTTACTGGGTTTTAGTGTATCAATATTAAAGTCACCAACCAAACAGAGTCGCCCTTCAGACCGTAACTGCCCAAGAACTACTTCAAGTTCCGCAAGAAAAAAGGATACGTTTTCGGAAGGAGGCCTGTAAACTGTGAGCAAAAATAAAGAAAAATCAGAGTGGAGTAATTTTATGCCGATGGATTCTGCATGTTGAAAGGAAACACTATAACTAGATGGTAGCCACTTATTTTGAATATATACTGCAATACCACCACCTCTGCTATTGTCACGTGTATAAAAAAATTCTTTATAACCGTCTAACACGAACTGATTACATTGCAAGGAAGTTACAGCAATCTCGGTGATAACGAAAATGTCAACCGGAGGTTTCAGACAGCACACCGAAATTTGGAACTCGGCCCAATGCTTCCTAAGGCTCCTAATATTCACATGAATTAGCGTTAAAGAGTTGTTAGTTATTGGCCCCAAAATTCGATTAAATGAATTACAATCCGGAATCGAAACACAAGTACTCATGCTCGGCCTACACTAGTTTCCCAATATCACTTAATACGTTAATACGCAAAGCGGGTGAACCCTCACTTTTCCTCGCAAAAATTTTGGAATTTTCGAGCCACACAAACCGATACCCGTTTTCTTTGCCTTGAGACCTAGCCAACCAAAACAGCTCCCTGTTTGCTGCTGTAAGGTTGTCGTTGAAATACAACCATGGCCTTCCCTCAGATTGACACAACTTGTGCAGTTTACCACGCGCCGCCATCCAGACTCCCTTTATCGAAACGGAAGCAAAGTTTACGAGAACCGTAGGAGCGCTGTCACGTTTTCTTGCCAAGCGATGAATAACCAGGATGTCTGGCGATTGAAAAGATGGAATATCGAGCTTTATCGAGAGATCCTTCATGACCTCCATCAAATCTTCGCCGTGAACGAAAGGAAGTCCCTGCACCTCCATATTGCATCGGCGGCTGTACTGTTGCGCTTCGTTGAGCTCTATCCTCAAATGTTCAATTTCCCGCGACTGTTCGACCATCGTCGCCTTGACTGTTCCCACCTCGGTTTGCAGGTTCTTTACCGATTCCTCGTTTATTTTCACCAGAGAAAGGACGGAGTCGTACTTAGCACCAAAAGAGTCAACGGCTGACTGGAGACCACCGACCGTACTACGCAGTTCATCGACAACAGGTCCCAAGGCCAACAACTGGTCAACCTTCGCTGGAAGAGGCAGCAGTGTAGCAACACTTGACTTTAGAGACAGTAGCTCTTTTAGTGCAGCCCTGATTGCAGCTAGTTGGTTACCAACACTGACGTCAGCTACTTCAGGAGCCTGGTGGCCTACAGCCTGGAGGGATTCATTCAATGTGACATTTACCCCCGTTCCGGAACCGGAGCGAATTTCACCTGAACGGCAGGTGGGGCACTTCCAGCTTTCTCTCTTAGCAGCACTCATTCCAGAAAAAGTGCTATCCGCTACCCCTGAACAGGCTTTTCCAAGATGATACCCATTTTTGCACACCACGCAAGACAACAACCTCCCGTCAGAGGGTAAAGAGCGAGTACACTTAACGCAGTCCATGACACTAACAGCAACGAGAGGCCGTAGGCGCTCGCAAAAAGGTCAACACTCAACAATAAATACACTGGGCAGTCGGTGGTAAAAAGAGGCAAAGACTCAGGAAAACCTTTGTCTCACCTGTGCAAAATGTAGCGATTAGCACCGGAAAAATGTTCGCCGCCGACTGCAAGGGATGCGATGCTGGGACCTCGTTTTATAGCAGAGATGACCTGAAGGGCTGCCGGGTAATTGCACGTGGTCTTCCCCAGCTGACGTCAGGCACAGATGACGGTGAGATTCTGCAGGACCCGTGAAGATTCAATACTTGAAGATTGCAGATTTTGCGGTGCAGGCCATGATGATCTTGCGAAACGCTTGACGATGGCCTCGGTGGTTCCTGTGCAAAATGTAGGGATTAGCACCGGACAAATGTTCGCCGCCGACTAATAATAATAATAATAATAATAATATTAATAATAATAATAATTTTATTCGGCTTGTTCTTTCTTTAGCACGTACGAGGCGGGTCAGTCGAAGCCAGGGTCGGCTTGTGCGACTAGACCCCGTGGTGATGAGACTGATTGTTCTGAGGCGCGAATACAAGACAGTTATACACAATTTAAAGTTGTTTCACGGGTTTCACACACACAAATAAATGAGCAATTGGGCATATATACACAATTTAAAGTTGTTTCACGGGTTTCACACACAAATAAATGAGTACTTGGGCATATATACAACATCGAGTGCACTGGAACGCATATAGACGTGCATGCCTAGATCTACACGTAAATATACACTTAAACACATATATATACTTAAGCATCATACGGGCATATAGCTGATGGTCGAACAGTCACTCACATGGTAACAATAACTAGCCTCCTGTCGATCCCAGATAGATTTCAGTCGTGTATAATTCAATAGGCTGCTACTAGCACAATTGTTTTATGCGTTTTTTAGGACACGCTGAGAGTCAATTTCATCAAGAAAATCTGGTAATTTGTTAAATATGCGAGGAACATAATACGACCGGACACATTTGCCATATTTAGTGTATACACGAGGAATTAAAAAGTGTTCACTGTTTCTTATAGAACGCCGGACAGTTCGAGGTATTTTAAATTGACTGAGCCAATAATGTCTTAGGATGACACATCTATGAAAAAGGGGTAGAAAACGCGGCAAGCCCACATAAGAGAATATATCATCGTCCTGGTTTAGATTCGGATTATATGCAACGTTTTTCGCGATGTTCCTGAGAATGGCGTCAATTTTCGTTCTCCAGAGGGTTGAGCAGTTGGCAAAGATAGTAATCCCATAGCGAAGAACTCCGTAGGCAAGAGCATTCACGACTGTCTTTCTGACGGAGATTGGGAGGAACGTTTTTATATGGTATAACAGACAAGATACACCTCGTAGTCTTTTAGCCAGATAATCAAGGTGTGTGTTCCAGGAGAGATCGCTATCGAAAAAAAGTCCCAAGTATTTGACTGAATAATAATAATAATAATAATAATAAGTTTATTTCGACATGCATATGTCTGGGAGGCTGCGGCAAAAGAAAACGCGAAGTCCTCTGACGTGGCCACCAGCCCCCGTTACTGCACTCGGCACGTACTTCTAAGGATACCGAAAAAAATGAACATCAATTACCTAATTCACATCAAAATAAGTTTACAGATGAAAACATTTGAAGAGTCACAAAGTTGAGTGAAAAATAACAAACACTGTTACATATAATATAATTGATCAGATTTGCACATTCGAACTAATGGCACAAGTGGCAGGTGCATATTGTTCGATTGAAAGAAAATATAATTTTATCAATTTCCTAAACATCTGGAGATTGCTACAGTTGTGTACCGTTTGAACTATATTTGCATGAGTATTTAGTAAGTCAGCGATTTGATAATGAAGTGTTTGAGTTCAATAGTTTGTTCTAACATTTTGTTTGATGTAAAAGGTGTGTCTAAGAGTGTAATCGGCAGTCTTATGAAGGTAGGCGTTGAAGAAAGAGGTCTCATCCCGCTTTATTTCGTCAAATATGATGTTCGCTAATTTAATAGAAAAAACATGTCCGATGGGTAATAGCTTGTATTTTTCGAATGTGGGCGATGTATGCTGAATATAACCTAAATTATCTATGAACCTAACGGCCTTCTTTTGTAACAGAAAAACTTTTTCAATGTTTGTTTTTGTCGTGGTTCCCCAAACTAAAAGACAATACTGTAGGCGGGAATACACAAGAGTATAGTAAAGCTGCAGTTTAAGTCAGTTTGGTAACAAGTGTCTGACTTTATTCAGTATACCAATTGAACGTGATATATCACATCTAATTTTATTTACATGGTTCGTCCAACTTAAAAACTCATCAAACCAAACCCCTAAGAACTTATGAGCCGAAGTGATTTCTATCGTGGAGTTTAAAAATGTAACATTCAACTTACGCTGAACAAGTTTATTTCTGGACCTGAATATAACATATTTTGTCTTCGCTGTGTTCAACTCTATTTGGTTAGACCGCAACCACTGAGATACCTCATTAAGCCAGCAATTTGCACACTGTTCAATTTCATCGAGATTTGTCCCGGAAAAGAAAACGTTGGTGTCGTCCGCGTACAGGATAATATCGGGGGTTCGCGGTATATTAACTATGTCATTTATATATGCCAAAAATAACAAAGGTCCGAGGATTGAACCCTGAGGAACGCCGTACTGTATCAGGGAAGTTTGTGATGTAAAACCGTTTAGAGATGTGAATTGTCTTCGAGCTGATAAGTAATTCTTGATAAGTTCGAGAGCTAACCCCCTTATACCATATCGTTGTAGTTTTTCAAGAAGGATGTCATGCTTTATAGAGTCAAAAGCTTTCCGAAAATCTAGGAATATACCAAGTGTGTAAAGTCGATTTTCTATGTTACTTATTATTTTGTTTTTTATGCATAGCAAAGCTGTTTCCGTAGATTTTTCTTTCCGAAACCCATACTGACAAGATGTTATAATATTATTGCAAAGAAAATATTGAGAAAACCTAGTATTTATTACCTTTTCTGCAATTTCTGAAAATAATGGAAGCACTGATATGGGCCTGTAGTTGTTTAGGTTAGTTAATGTACCGCCTTTGTGTATAATACAAACTCTAGCTAATTTCATTTTATTAGGAAATATACCAGTTTCAAGAATTCTATTGGATATATGAGCTAGAGGAGAACAAATCCAGTCTTTTACTGCTTTGATGGGGGCTACCTTCAAATCATCATATCCAGAGGCGCGGCTGCACTTCAACGAGACAATTATATCATTAATTTCTGTTTCATTGGTGGGAGTCAAAAATATAGAGTTAGCTAAGTTCATGGTTATGTACGTTTCATAGTTGCTGTAGTCCATTAAAGGGACCATGAAATGATTTTAAAATCGAATTTCATCCACCGCACGTCGTAAAAGGTGTGAAAAGGAACGCAAAAACACAAGACTAGGGAGCCAAAAAAAATTATTTGCTATAGAACTTTTAAAAGAAAACTGGACTCTTTTGCGACTTCTTTCCTTCGAAAGCTCTGCCTTTTCACTACGATGCATACGCAGAAACGGTGCACGTCAGCCGAATCCACATCGCCTATTGGGTAAGAGCCTACCTCACCAGCACCGCGATCGTAAACAATAAATAGCCGGCGAATGTTTCCTAAAAGTTTTGTTAAATAATATTCAGATCCACATTTTGTAGCATAATTAGAGATGTGTGGCGAAAATTGCCAAATTTGATAATGCTGAGAGCCAAGCGCCATCTATCGTGTGGTAAACGAAGCAACTACTGCGCGTGCGCAGTAGGGCAGGGCCAATTTCAGAACGGTTATTTCCTTTGGTTTCCTTCCTCTCAAAACTCTGACTGACTGAACGTTTATTTTTCTACGTGTTCATCTCGCGCGTGCCGACTTCAAGCAGCAAGAAAGAAATGTACTTAAAACAAACCACGACGAACAAGAACGCTGGATCCACAAACACCCGAGAAGAGCGACAACAGCCGCGAATCCCGCTCCGACGAAGCTCCCGGAATATAGGCCTAGCAGGCACTCCGACTCGGCGCAGCGTTGCTTCGTCGCAAGACCGTCTGCCTACGACCGGCTGGCGTACTGAATGGAATATGCCGGCGCTACCCTTGTGGACCCTTCCGTATTATAGTTTGATCGCTGACCTCAATTTTAGGTTAAGAGGTGAGGTCAATCTCTTCCCCTTGTTTTCCGAGGCAGTGTTGACGAACACTCGTCGAAAAGGGACCCTCGTCGATCCTCTCCTTGTTTTGTGTGATATAGAGCTGAAATAAACGCTGTATGGATTACCTTCGTAGCACGGTATGTACACTTTGTTATTGGTATGCCATTTTTATTCTGACAGACTGCACGTCACTGTCGAGCTGTAACAGTTCGTGGGAGGTATACGTGCAATACCGGTCCAACCTTTCTTTGCCGAGTGTCGCGTCAGTATCGAGTTGCAATTGTAAAAGATCGGTCCCGAAGCGCTTACCAACAGCGCGAATACAGCACTTCATCAAACGCGCGCGTCCGCTCCGAGTGTGAACAGGTATTTACGTGGCTCTTGCTGACAGTTCAAACGTATCTTTTTTAACGTCGGCTCGCTCCTGCATCTCCGAGACCGCGAAAAACGCCGCGGCAAATTGTTCCCATCTGCACTTCCCAACAGGCATACCGGCGTATGGGACTAGTCCCATGCTGTCGCTGTAGCGCAACGTATCTCATTGAATTTCGCTCAGCTGCGATGCGGCGATGAGA